TCTGCATTTTATGCATCCGGTCAGCTTCAGTTTCAGTCTTTCACTGTAGCTTCCCTGCTCTAATCATATATTTTGAAAATGGCTGAGAGTCGCACGAGGCAAACGGTCTCACAGTTTGCCTCGTGCCACATCCTTATGAGAATAAGAGGAAGGACTCATGCACAGTTGGTCCAAAAGTGACTTGGGCATTTTTTACCAACATCTCTGGAAAAATCCACTATACCTGAAACCTGAATTAATTTTCTTAAGATGAAATGCAAGTTTCTAGTTTAAGAATAGCTGTCTGCATAAAGGAAAATTCCTTTTAAAGGTACACGTCATTAAATTTATTTTTGAATATACAGTATGTGTACCAGTAACTCACTTTGGCTGCATACAGTGTTTTCTGACAATTATGACATCCTGCTGATGTAGCATTTGTTATTTTTGTCTTTTAAGCTTTATTTTTGCTTAGTTTGTAATATTAAGCCTTTCTGTGTATATTTGACATAAAATCATGTGACCAGGATTACTACACTGCAATCAATTCACTGATATCTATTTATTCACTGGATTGCTGATAGGCTGAAAAAAGTGAAGCCACCGTCTACCGCGCTGGTTCTCCCCACTCCCACACAGTAAAAATGCCTACATGTGTAGCATTTGGCTGCAAAAACAAGCAGTTCGCCGGCTGTGGGAAAATGATCCACAGATAATTTCACAGTCAGCAGATGTACTAACCAAGAAAATGCAAATATATGCCAATTTATCCTATAGTATAGTATGTAGCGTAACAATAGTCTGGCTATCCTGGACTGACTCGAAGTTGTTGACTAAATTAGCCGCTGCCATTGTGTCTAGCGTAAGAAAATAGAAAGTAAAGAAAATAGAAAGTAAAGTAAATAGAAAGTAATTCACTGTAAAATGTCATTGAGCTAATTTATTACTAAGCGGATGACGTTGTTGTTTTTGTAGTGTTTATTGTATTTCTCATTTGAACACGTAAGATGTAATTACCATAGAAATATAATAAATACATGCATATTACATATACATAATCAGATTAGCAGTTTTGGCTCATCTTTATTATTATGCTCCATTTACACATTAATTTTGTTGTGATGGATTTGTATAATATGTTATATTACATGATTTAGACTCTTCATTGTCTTCATCAGGACTGTGGAATGTGAAGTTAAAGTAATGTACTTATACCATGAAACAGCAATTGTGTGTCAAAGTGATGAATTTATCTTTATTTTAAAAGTCTGAAAATGAGAACATTGTTGTTTGATGCTGTAGCGCACATATTGTTAACATTGCGACCGGTCTAACATGGGAGTACCAATATGGCGGGTGATGGCTTCACTTCCACCCCATACTACCAATGGGCAATCAACAATCCAGTGAATAAATAGAGATCAGTGGATCAATTGGTCACCAAGCTGAAGCAATGTAGACGAGTGAGTGAGGAACTCCCAGCATAGATGTGAGCTGCAAGAAGATGTTTGATAAGTGGGATAAACCTCAAGTTGTGCTGGGAAAACAGGCTTAATTGGAGTTCACTAAACATGAAGCTAAAGGTTAGAAAGCATCCTAATTTCTCTGGGACATTGATAGACGTGAGTCCATATCCTAGCAATGCTTTTAAGCCTTCTCCTCAGAGCTGATGGTTTTCAGTGAGGCATTACAGTGCGGTCTGGACTTATTCAGTAGCTGCATCAATGGCCACCATCTGGCTTCCTGGTAGTTCAGCTGTACTGCAGGTAGATGGCGCCATGTCTGCTAATGCCAGCTCATTGCAGCTACAGCACGGGGTTCTACTTAGGCTCAAAAAAGACGATCAACACACTATATGGATGGAAACTTGGAGTATATAGTCTTATTTTATCATCATTAACTGGATGTTGGTTTTAGAAGCAAACCACCAGAGGGCAAAAGCAATCAGTTAGAAACTGACGCAGCTACGAAGGAGTATTAGGGCCAGGCTAGAGATTTGTTTTTTCTATTTTGTGAATTAAGTCATAAAATTACAAAAATAAATTCGCAAGGAGTATAGTGAAAATATTACGAGAATAAAGTCTTAAAATGACCAGAATAAAGTTGTAAAATTACAAGAATAAAGTTGTAATATTACGAGAATAAAGTTGTAATATTACGAGAATAAAGGTACATTTTATGACAAATCTTACCAAAAGCACTGTCTTCCCTAAAATGAGGAATGTGGAGCATTATGTGAAGTCATACTTTGGCTCTGGTTTGACAAATAAGGAAATCTTTTAGCACCATCATCAAAATGGGCAGAATGTCAAATTGAACTCAAGTTGCTGATTGGTGGAGCAGGTTGGGCGTCATATGCTGGTTGGAGCTTGAAGCTTTCTTTCTAAAACGGGTTGTTGTATGATGACTTCATTCTTGTAATATTATGACTTTAATTTCATAATATTACGACATTTTTCTTGTAATATTACTACTTTATTCTTGTAATGTTACGACTTTATTCAAAAAATAAAGAAATAAACGTCTAGACCTCTAGAGAGGTCAGGCATTTTTATTTATTGAGGAGATTAAACTCTGGGGGGGTGTTGAAAAACATTGATGTTTACTACATGGCCAATAGTGTGAGATGTTTTTTTTTTAAATATATAAGCGGTTATTTCTGATGCTGTTGAGAGACTTATTTCTAACAGCAGTCTGGTCTGTTAGCATGCTTACGCTTATAACAGAATAAAAAAGAAACTTTAAGCTCTTCATCCATTCAGCTTCAGGTTCGGTCGTTCATTGTAGCTCCCTTCCTCTCATGGTATATTGTGAAAATGGAGAAGCGGAAGGCCGCATCACAGTTATTCAACAAGTAACTTGGGCGTTTCTTACCTACCTTTCTGGAAAAATGTCCACTACAGCAAAGAGAGGAGGGGGAAAAACACCATGTCAGGAGGTGGTTTAGGAAAAAAAATATTCATATATATATTTGCTTATTGTTCAAAAATCCAGATTCATGCATCCTGAATTTTTTACACTCAAATGATTCCCATTTTTGATGCTATTTTCCTCTGTATAAACTGCACAGTTTCTGCTATTGGAATCCCTTGAGATGATATTTTGATGTTGTGACTTAAACTAAAAAAAGGCAGCATTTGGGTTTGAGGTTTTTCAGTTCTGGAGAAAAAAAAAAATCTCAAGATGTACAGAAACTGGTGTTTGTTTCTAACCAGCACTGAAAACAATAAAGTTCATTGAAGCGTTTGATCAAACTGCACGCCTGAACTGTTGGTTTAATCTCTGATGATTTAGGTATTTGAAAGACGACTATAGAATCATTAAAACAAACAAATAATGTAATGAAAAATAAGAAATCCAGGCAAAAATAATCAGATTTATCATTGATTTATTTTTATGCTTTAATGTTCCCTCTTTTTTTTATAAATCTTTGCCTTAAATGAATAAACTGAACTGAAAGGAACTGAACAGGTTTAAATCAAATGTCTTTGTTTTCTAAATAAAAACCTTTGGGTTGATTTTTGTCTTAACATTTTCTCCCTACACATGTTTGGAGCGCTCAGCTTACATGAATGTTAATTCAAACTGTGCAGAACTCATTGGCAGGGATATCAACCAGCCTACCTGCTATGCAACCATTAAGCAGGTATAAAAATCAAAATTGGGTGCCAATTGATGCCAATTTTACTTTTTTCTTAATAATAGCTCTGCGCAATGTGTGTCACTTCCTCTTTTGTTTACTCAAATAGGCCTTGATTTGGTTATCGTCGACCTACTTCGATCTAAATGTGTGACGCTACTTTATACGTTCTTGACTTAAAGATTTTAACTTTATCTCATTTTGGCAAAACTCGCCTTGCTATTTTGGTGTCTTTCAGAAAAATTTGCTGTTTTTCTTTGCTTTTCTGTGAAAGAAACTTAAAAATACCAATTTTTTTTCATTGTTATTTTTAGACTCTTTGTTTGGATGCTTAAACATATCTCAAACAACTAGCAAACTTACCTTGAAACCATCTGGTACCTCTGACTCTTTCTAAAAGCTGAACTTAAAAGAAGAAGCAAAGATGGTTGCTTAAAGGCGGACTTTTCCTTTTCTTTACAGGTTCCTTTCCATCATTTAAAACTGAAACAGTGACACAGGTTATCACTAGATTCAGGTCCTTATCAGAGCTCTGACTCTTATTGTGAAAGTATCTGACTCCAGTAAAATGATGCAGAGCTGCTTCAATGATCTTTAAGAGACTCTGTGTAAGTTTAAGTCATGATTTGGCCTAATAAGTCTATGAGTTTTTGGATGTGTCAGGGAGCATTTTCAGGAAGTGTTGTGACAGAAACTACGGCCTCTCCTGTAAGTCCACTTCCTCCTCTCTCACCTCAAACTCTGCCTCTTGTGAAACCCTTCAACCTTTGTGCATGCACTGGGGTCTCTTCCTGCAGCAACGTTTTTAGCCCACAGGGTGCTATAAATTACTAAAGACAATACAAAACATTAATAAAACCAGTTTTAAGTGAATCATAGCAGATTTTGGTGCTTACATTTAAATGAACATAAAGTCTAAATCTCATAGCTTCTCTTTAGGTTGACATTTTGTACATTCTTTGTATACAAGCTGATGGTTCGATATAAAATCGACCTTGAATATGGGAAAATCAAATTATTTCAGGTATTTTTTTTTTTTTTTACATTTTACAGCTTTGAGACTCAGTTTAAATAAGAGAAACTTTTCATGAAAAGAGGAAACTCATTCATCTGCTGTGCAGATCTGAAATACAACAGTTTATATATTTTACCACCCAAAACGAACTTTAACTCCTCTTACACCCTAATTTGGTTTGTGAAAATGATGTTAATTTCATTTTTTTTTTTTTTTATCAATCTATGATTTCAAATAACATGAAACCAATTTTCCTGCCAAAGTGGAGAAGAGAAACACCCAACATTTTATGCGGATGTCAAAGTTACACACCTGTGCTCACACAAGTAAAAGCTGCTCAGAGGGTATGATAAAGGGGTACTGTACCATTGTGTCTGTGGGCGTCTCCTCGTCGGGCGTCCACCGTCCAGATAGTGTGTGTCGGTTGTGTGTGTGCCGTTAAACTCCACCGTTTGACGTCCTCAGAGTGCAGCCATCACCCAGAAGAGGGACAGCCAAAACCAGCAGAAGGCACACAGACTACAAGACATCCAGTGTAGCTGTCACATACACTTCCTCATACTCCCACCGACGTAGTGTGTGAAACAAGAACTGAACGTACGCAGTGATGCACACACTCACCACACAGGGCTGTGTAACTACTTCTGTATTTCTCTCATGCTCCCAGCCGTCAGCGAGGATTAAGTAATGAAGGGTTTCAGTGTTTGTTGACTGCAGGTATCAAAGTTTCGTACCACAGTTAGTTAGTCCAATTCTTCTGGCACAAGCAGAGTAGCGCCGATGGCAACAGAGAGGGTGAAGGGGGATCATTTTCCAGTGTGTTGCCAAATGATGGGTGTTTCATTTGTTGGGTGCCGGCTCCACCCAGGCTGTGGTTGCTTCATGCAGTGTTTGTGAAGCCTCCAACGCCCATGAAAACCGATGGCTTCAGGAAGACAGTGTGTGAGCAGGTGTCGGTCTCAGCTAGTGTTACATCCTCCTATGTGGAGGAGATGAATCAGTGATAATCTGGCACGCTGGGGGGGGCTGTCTTTTTCTGACTCTGCTTTTGCTCCTTTTCATTTGAGTCATTTTCTTAAAATATATCCCTGCTTTCCTTACTTTATTTAGCTTCTGCTTTCCTTTTTTTTAACAATGTTTCCTTTCATTTCTTCTCACCACCTTAGCAAGTCTGATTTGTGTTACTCCACGGCTAGACTGACCATGTTTGTCTATTAAAAGCTGTCGAGGCCCTCAGCCTTCCTGCAACCCTCAATAAGATAACGGAAAAAAGCACGTAGAGGTAAACAGCTGATTTCCATTTTCTCATGACCCATCTTCAACTGCCTTGTATGTTGTGTCTGTCCTATTCATTTCTCCTGTTGCCCCCTCCCTTCCTGTGCTTCTGATCTTTTTCTGGGTGGAGCTCCTGCTGCTGCATGCAGCTTATTCATGTACCTGTCAAAAACATTTTCTCAGAGACGACGAGTATAATACCTTTCAGCAAGAGATCCTAAAACATGGATGAAAGAAAAAAAAGAATGAGCAAAGAATTACCTTCTTTGGCTTCTTCTTCTGCATCTCCTATACTTTCCTTACTTCTACTATAACGGGCTGCTGATTTATTGAGGCACAAACAAAAGGTCATCACACCAGATCACCAATGCAGTACAATAAGTGAGCTCTTGGAAATAAACACAGGTATAGAAATATGAGGTCAGAATTCTGCCAAAAGGGCAAATTCACAAAAAATAGATGCATTTTGCACCTTTTACCCAGCTCCAGTACCACCGTACCCCTAGATGTCACGAGGATGACTGCATGCTCCTTCTCTAATTTCAATAGACCGACAGCCTCTGTCCTACTCGTATATGGATCTGTTTCTGCATGCTCATGTCAGCATTTGTCACTTTGAGTGAGGTAAAAATTGGAGATAATAAACCGCCTGTGATTGGCTACTTTTCAGGAAATCCCACCTCTTGGGATGGTCCTGTTTTCTTCCTCCTTGTGCCTTATTACAGTAGAAGCATCTTCAGGCTAGCTGCTGTTTTTTTTGGCAGAGGTTTGACTTCAGAGGGAAAAAGATTTCTCTCTATCTGATGGAAACACTTTTGGACTCCATGATTGTAGAACAGCTAATCCTGGATTTAAGGTAAGGAGCAGCCAAAAGGCAGGAGAAGAAAAATAATAAAAATATCACAACTACTCAATCACCAGAGAGAAGTTTTCAAAGAAGAGAAAAACATTTAAACAAAGAAGAAACTCAACTTTTATTTTGGCTCATACCTACCTTGGACATGTAGGAGGGAGTTAACAGCCAGACCCCTGACACAACTGTGGGTTTATGTGAATAAAAACAAAATTTGTTTTCATAATGTTTTTACTATTGGAAAATACCTTCACCTGCGGCGTGTTCATATCTAGGGTAAAAGAGCAAGACAACATTTGACTTCAGGTGCTGCCTTTATTGCTTGTGTGTTGGGAATTGGGACTAACTATGTAGGGGAAAGTGAGGACTGCACACGGCAGAGCTGCTTAATGCATAACGTTTTATGGACAAAGGTAATGGTATTTGAAATTTTTTGAAACTCTTGGGGTTTAGGAAATCAAAATAATAATACTGCTTAGCTTTTAAATCCCTGGATTGGTTGCCAGTTTGTTATGTTTCCCAGCTTCTACTCTCCTGATAACCTCCTCCCACTGGGTAAATCATCATATCCCCTGGATGCCTGATGCTTATATAAACGTATATCTATATATAAAAAAATAATTATCTTTGTAGTAGTACCTGTAGTAGTTGCCAAATTGAACATTTGAGTTAGATTTATTTTAAAATAAATACAATGTATGTATATTCTAAATTTGTTAAGATATTTTCAATTATATATCTACTATCACTGATAACATACAACGTTACGAACCAGTCGTAATGAGAACAAGAGTTTGCCAAATGATCCTAGGTCCGCACCAAATATGTAATAACCGCCATTGGGGGAATGCACAGGCCATCTTGACTGTGTGCGTAATACAAAGGGTTTGTTGCATATTTGCAACAATGGCCGTCAAAGGGATATATACATCTTCTCTTAACTTTTATAAGCCAAAGTGGAAGTAAATCAGTGGCTGCCATCTTAAGTGCTGTCAGTAGGATAAAGCTAAAGGGACGAAGCAGGATGCTTCCTATCAACCGTTCCTTTAGCATAAGGAAGTCCTGAACTTCCTATATGGCACTTAAAACCTATAAGGTTGCCCAAAATCCTATGCGTAAAAAGAACCATAAACACAGCACACCACTCATATGTTTTGAGTTTAGCAATGGAGAGCTTAAGGCAATCACTACAGTTGTGTAATTTGTTGTCCCAATTAGACCAGCATAAGGCAAGTGTGCTTCAGCAATAATGTCCGGAAAACTAAAGGTGGTCTGAAATCAGCACAGCAGTCCAGAGTTTCTTTTCTACCCACGACACCCATGTTACTGTTGACCCTGAGGAAGGTGAGGGTAGAGGAGCTACAGGAGAAGGAGGTGGGAGCTAAGATTTGCAGTATTCAGACAGCACCTAAGTGTTAAAAAAAAAAAACCCTGTTACCTTTGGATTTCCTAAAAATGTTCTCTGGATAGGCATGTCATTTATATTTTTAGAACGGGTCTAATCATAGAGGTAATGTCTATGGTCTGCTATTCAAAAAACTTTCCCCATGGTTTATAAGTAAGGAAATTGATCTGCATCACTAGTAAGATGGCTCAGCAAAAGAACTGTTAGGTTCTGCTGAATGTTTCCTCCTGTTGGAAGGGAGTTTTCCTCTCTACTATCGCCACATGCATGCTTGGTGTGAGGGATTGCCTTCAATGAATGAGTCGAATCAATCAGCTGGTTTTCCTTAGATAGAAAACTCTGAACCAATCTGACTGTATGATCTGGTTGACTTGTCTCTGTAAAGTGCCTTGAGATGACGTGTTGTGATTTGGTATTACATAAATAAACTGAGTTGAATAAAAGTTTCCTTTTAAAGGTTAAATAGCCATTTGAAAAGCTTCATTATCCAAAAGGACTACATTAAAGGGTTACAAGAAACCTAAAACAACCCAGGAAAATAATAATAATAATACGGCACCACAACAATAAGTATAACCAGACAGTTTCTCACTACTCCTAATTTTAAATCTGTTAAACCCGGTGTATAAGTCATAGGACATTTCACATCTCAGCACATCTAATAGTTGATTTTATGGGTTTTAAAAGTCAAAATATTAAAACTTCAAAGTCAATAAACCGTTTTCCAAATTTAGAAATAGCCACTAAGAAATAATAAGTTAATAGTACAAAATTAACTCTCATTAATGTGATTTTTTTCCCCCACAGCTGAATGAGCTCAGTCTTTATAAAAAAAAAAAAAAAAAAAAAGAGGAAGTCATTGCTTCATTTCTGTTTTTCCATTAAAACAGGCAACGATGATGTAGACTTCTAGAGCGGATGGTGACGAACAAAAAATCGGTCCCAGACACAAGACATCACTTCCATTCCTTTTAAATATAAATGCAATGTATAAGTTACTGTATATATAGCAGGTGAAGTGAGTATTTAACACACCACCATTTTCTCAGTAAATATATTTCTAAAGTTGCTATTGAGATGATATGTTAACCAGATCTGGGTAACAATCCATGCAATCCACACATAAAAAGAAATCAAACCATAGATGTCCAGAAATTAAGTTACCGGTATTGTAACAATGTGAAATGGCACAGGGGAAAAGTATTGCATCTGTGAAGGGAGGTGAAAAAAGGCATGAAAAAACAAATCAGCCCAAATCTCTCAGTAATTAGAAAGCAATCCTGCCCCTGGTCAGGGCAAATTAATATCAGCTGGTTAAGTCCCAAATGATGGCCTATAAAAAGGTGGCTCTGGTATCACATGAGAAACATTTCAGGATGGGTAAAAATAAACTGCTTTCTCAAGACCTCCCCAACCTTAATCATGGCATCGGTTACAGAAGGATTTCTAAAGTTCTGAATTTTCCAGTGAGCATTTTCGGGGCCATCATCCAGAAGTGGAAAGAACATAATTTCACCCCAAACCGACCATGCACAGGTGCTCCTCGCAAGATTTCTGACAGAGGAGTGAAAAGAATTATCGGAAGAGTTGTCCAAGAGCCAAAGACCACTTGTGGAGAGCTTCAGAAATTTCTGGAATTAGCAGGGAAAATTGTTTCAAAGAAAACAATAAGAACCACTATGGCCTGTATGAACACCTCACAATGCAAGACTCCATTGCTGAAGAAAAAGCAGGTTGAAAAAGTTGAAGGTTTGCTGCACAACATTTAGACAAGCTTGTGAAAGACTGGGAGAATATAGTCTGCTAAGATGACACCAAAATTGCACTAATAGGATCACATAATACTCATCATATTTGGAGGTCAAATGGCACTGCACATCACCCCAAAAACACCATACCAACAGTGAAGTGTGAGGTGGGAACATCATGGTGTGGGCTGTTTTTCAGCATTCTGTACTGGCAAACTTCAAATAATTGAAGAAAGGTTGAATAGAAAAATGTACAGAGAGTGGACGGATATTTCAGCAGGACAATGACCCCAAGCACAGAGCCAAGGAAACTCTCGACTGGTTTCAGAGAAAAAAAATAAAGCTGTTAGAATGGCCCAGCCAATCACCTGACTTGAATCCAGTAGAAAATCTAAGGAAAGAACTAAAGATCAGAGTTCATAGAAGATTTGAAGACTGTGAGGAAGAATGGGCCAAAATCACACCTGAACAATGCATGCGACTCATTCTTCTATACAGAGGGTGTCTTGAAACTGTCATTGCCAACAAAGGCTTTTGTACAAAGTATTAAAAAAAAATTCAGTAAGTGTGTTCAATATGTTTCCCAGTGCCATTTCACTTTATTACACATAATTTAATTTCTGGACATCTACAGTTTGATTTCTTGGTAAGTGTGGATTGCATTGGTTGTACCGACATCTGGTGAAAATGTTATGTCAATAGCACTTCTAGAAATATATTTACTCAGAAAAATGGTGGCGGGTTCAATACTTACTTCACCCGATGTATATTACCTAACCAAATAATAGTAAATCTATCCATCCATCCATCCATATATATATATATATATATATATATATATATATATATATATATATATATATATATATATATATATATATATATATATATATATATATATATATGTTGTTCAGTATTTAATTCCACACCAGTTAATTCATATTTTTGATGCCTTCAGTGTGAATTTTTAATTTCCTTAGTCATGAAAATAAAGAAAACTCTTTGAATAAGAAGGTGTGTCCAAACCGTTGGTCTGTGCTGTAGATATACATATATAACTACAAGTTTCAACCCTTATGAAAGATGCAGCCTTTAATTTGAGATTTTTTCAAGAAATATTGTTTTGATCAGCAGAATAGCAAATATTGGATCAAAGTCTTTGCAGTAGATTTTCAAAACTGCTGCCTTTTAAAGCGGTTTAACAAAAGTTGCTGAATACAAATGCAAACAACACTTTATTTGCAAAAAAAACGATAAAACCCCAGAATTCAGGGGGTTGCAATACTTTTGAAAGTTGCTGAATATGTATAAAAGTATGCATCACGCTGCGAAGATAAACCGCTTCGCCGATCCAATCAGGTTATTCTGTTAAACAAGCACTAATTATCAACAGGAAACAGGAGACCATAAAATAATTTACCTTTTTCAAAGAATGAGCACATGAATCAGAGAAGACCTCTAGTGGATGAACCTTTATAAACAGCTGCACTTATACATTTCATCACTACACCTTTAACTTTGCAGATCTGTAACATTAACGAAAAGGCTCAAACTGATTTTTAAATAAAACGTTTTTAACAGTTGCTTAAATGATACATGAGGAACAAACAACAGTGAACAAATAGCACCATTAAAAAAAACAAAGCACCAACTAAAGTAACAGGAATAACATTGCAGCCAACCCCCACAATGACAGATGCTTCCTCTCTTCGTTATGAAACTGAGTGTTGCTCATAGCTGCTATAAGTGTTGACTGAACCACAGCAGATTACAGAGCACAGTGATGCCATCAGGCCCAATGAGCGATCCCTAAAAGCCTCTTAGGCAGCATTTCTACAATTATTCTCTACTAGATGGAGAAACGGTGGAAATGCAGATGATGCGTCATTAAATTCCGCTCTGTGAAGCAGAGACCTGAATCCGCTGAAGTCGTACCAAAAATGGAACATGTAGGGTGGCATTAATGCAACAGGTGTCAGCATGAAAATCTGCAGAGGAGTTTTAGCTCGTGGTTCTGAGGTCAGCATGTTTTTTCATGGCAGTGTGTCTGTCTCATAACAAAGTTAACAAAGAAAGTGAATAATTAATCTCTGAGGAGATTCAGGGTTGTGTTCTGTGCAGCGCCGTTATTCTACTATCTAATACTGGTTTAATAGATTGTAGGGACATTGTAAATTTATAAGAACTGAATGAACCTTTCAGGTCGGTTTTCCTTTTTGCATTTTTATCTCTAAATTTTTCAACAATTTCTACCCACTTTACCTCTCAGTGCTCTTGACTTCAATCATTATTAGATCTTTATCATTAAAAGGAGATACAATAATGTAAAAAAGCTCCAATCACGCATTATTTAATTTTATTGTATATTATTCTCTTAAAGGTATAGTGGAGGATGTTCTTTTTCCGGGTGGATCATCAAAATAAGTGGTCCTCCTAATAATCAATCATTCTTGTGATATGTTTAAAATAATGTTTTAAGGCCAGCCTACGTGCTCTTTCCCATTTTTACTTACCGGTGGTGAGTCAGACATAGCGGAAAAATTGCAAATCTTCTGTTAGAAAGTAAGCTTGTATGAGCACTGCAAAAACCAACTTTTAATAAGAGCGTGCACGAGGAGAAATGGGCTCGTGCACGCTCTCGCAGGCTTTCAATAGGCGTTACCTCTCAGGAGCAAGTACATGGTTGTGCATGTGGATTTTTTTTTAAATGGAGAGAGCGGTCGTTTCAAAAATTCACAAACATTCTCCACTATACCTTTAAGCATTGTTGTTGTTAGTTTTTTGCTCTGATTTTAGTTTGAACTTATTGACTCTAAATCCCATATATTAGTCATATATTATATTTCACTACAGAGGACTGTGAGCTGATTTTAGAAATCTACATGCTTGCTTTCATCTCGCTGCACTGCAGCCGGCATGGACAGAAAACCCAGATTATCAAACTGCAGGAGAGGGGCCTTATGGTGGAAGATAACAGTCTATAAAATGTAAATGTAGGTGTCTAAATATGTGAATCTAAGCTGTCCTCCTCTGCTTATCCCCGAGCAGCTCGTGGGGGCAGCACTCTTAGCAGACGTGCCTTGAACAGCTCCGGAGGGAGGAGCCAGGGGGCATGATGTCCAATCCACCTCAGCTGGCTCCTTTCTGGAGGAGAGGTTCCTCTACTCGGAGGGGCAGAGATCAAACGTACAACCGCTGCTTTTTGTTTTATGCCTTTCTTCTATTCTTCTTCGGCCATCCAGTAAAGAGTGTAACAGCCTCGTTAGAGGTCGTTGAGCCAAATTTGTAAATTTACACTCAGAAATTTTTCATTTGTACTTTATGCAAAGTTTGAACTTACTAATTCATATTTGAAAACTGAAAAAAATAATGAAACCATTTTTTGGGATTTACTTAATCATATATAGTTACTTTAGCAAAGTTTCATGTTAGCATGGTAGGACATAAAACAATTAAATAAATGCCAAAAAGGTTGAATTATTTTTTGGATGATGTTGGATCATTTTAGGGATAATTGTATATATGGTAACGCCTAAACAGGGCGGATAAATTATGCCTTATATTAGATTAGCACTTCTGCTAGATATCTGAGGTCGATTTTATTCCCTGCTGGCAGAGCTGTCTAACACCGGCTCACTGTGCTCTGTGTTTCCACTTAATATTTGCACCTTTATGCATACTGTATGTGGGGGAAAAAAAGTCAAAAAAACTTAACAACCAGGTTGCAATGAGTGAAATCTGATAATGACTGAGAGGAACCTCTTTCTGAAGCTGCCAAAGTCTGCAGCCAAAACACAACCCAACATCCTATCGTACGGAAACCTTTTCTGTCAAACCCTACAGCATATAGCTATATAAGACTTGCAGAGGTGATAATCTGTAGGGAAACTATCCAAGACGGCAAGACTGCGGCATTTCCCACAACTTCCACATCAAGTCAAATAACGGTTCAAGAAACAAAACGCACACAAGTCCTGTGAGTGCTGAGACTCTTTGTGCAACTTGACTCTGCTCATTCTACTTAATACCTGTGAGGACTTGGAGGTTAGACTAATATGTAAAAAAAAAAAAAAAGAAAATTAATAATATAAAAGTCAATTAAGAGAAAAGAAAATCATAGGAGCTATTCTTTTTCTGAGCATAATAATTAAAAAAGTGGAAGTTTAAAAAACAGAACAGACTACACATTTAGGCTCCTCGTGAAAATCTAATGAATCTTAAAAATACTGCAGTCAGTCCTGTAGCCAGAGTAGAACACATAGCACCAAAATTTTACGAGAAAGTTTGGAGAAAACAGATAAAGAGAGATAAAGAAATAGAGAGAGAGAGGGCTCGTCCTGACAGATGATGGAGGACAGCTCCTGCCTCCTTCCTCTCTAGGGGACATAGAATCCACCCTCTCCTCCAGTGGAAGATGTTTAGTCCAGAGGTTTCAGATCCAGGTTATCAGTGAGGAGAACAAAAACCTCCTCTTTGTAACTTCAGCGTGTCCGTTTGCCAGCTTAAAAAAACATATCCAAGCTTGAAGTGACAGAGACACGGCGACAACTACTGCAGCGAGGCTCAGTGGAAAAGGTTCAGTCTTACTGTTTGACCTCCAACAGCCGCAGCAGCGTCAGTGTCCCTGACAGGTCTTACAGCACATCTGTCTGAAATACGGCCGGTTGCAGAACTTGAACCTGAGCACCAGGGGGCAGTATGCCACAGTGCTCACGTCTTTACATTCTGCAGAGACAAAGAAGGAGAAGCACAGCTTTGATAATGTTTGGGGCCATGTTGGTGAAATCATTTTAACATAAGTTCTACATTAGTTGATCCATTACTGATTTTTTTTTTAGTTAGCAGAGCAAAATATCAGTTTTATAAATATTCTATTGATTTCAGTTTATTTCTATAGCGCCAATTCACAACACATCATCTCAAGGTACTTTACAGAGACAACTCAAGCAAGGAAATTTATTCAAAGTTTTTTTATCTAAGGAAAACCAGTTGATTGCATCAACTCATTGAGTCGAAGCCAATCCCTCACATTAAGCATGCTTGCAGCGACATTAGGGAGGAAAAACTCCCTTTTAACAGGAAGAAACCTCCATCAATACCAGGCTCAGTGTGAGAGTCCATCTGCTGAGGCCGACTCGGGTTCAAGGAGACAGAAGCAGAGAGACAAAAAAAAGTAGAGATAAAAAAGGGCAACTGTCAACCAGCAACACAGCCGTCAGGAAACACAGCCAGGCAGGATGCTTCCTATCATCAGTTCATTTAGCATAGGGATGTCCAAATGTTCCTACACAGTCCAACATGTTCATATCTTCTGATTTTTGTAATTGAGACATTAATTTGTTTGACTTTATTTTTCAGAAGGCTGTGGTCCCAGATTGACAAGCATCACCTATCGTGGTTTTCGTCAGATAATGACGTCTGTAAGGCTGAAGGATGTCCAGATTCCGCACAGAAGTTTGTGGCTCCTTTTCTACTCTGGATCGTCTTCTTTTTGTTCACAACTGTGAGAAGTGAAGGAACAGTAGCTACAGCTGTGCTTGAAAGTCTTCATACCCTCCCATTAAAGAAAATGATAAATTCACACTAGTAACTGAGAAAGAGTATTAATAAATAAAAATGTCCTAAATTATAATTTAGTTAAATAAATTATCAATTTAAAATTTTTGCTTAAAAAAATAACTCTAAAACAAAAAAAATGTCCCAGACACAATTTAAAGTAGCTTTCTAATGAACACCAACAACCAACATACCTTTCAACACGTGTAGAATTTCAAATGAACATTACAGAAAAAACCCTGATTTCAGCAACTATATATATATATAAAAAGCTGTCGTATGTGGATGCACTGTATATACTGTATATATCCCATGCACATTTTTCTTCCTTTGGTACGCTCCTCTTCTCCTTTGACTATTTGAGATGATGTAACATGTACATTTCTCCACTGTGAGATCAATAAGGTCAATCAATCAATAAATAATCCAGCTTTATACAGTGGATGCTAAATTTTTATTTTATTCTTTTTAATGGAAGGGTATGTGTTTCAGGCACAACTGCATGAGCCTTAATCTGCAATATTTGGACAGACCCCTTTCCTGTCTGTGTGAGTTGAAATTATTGCTATAACCCCTGAATGAGCCAAGATTACTCCCTCACTACAGGTAGAACAAGATGGCTTCAGCATTAAGGAAAGTAGTGCACCCTTAAAAATGATCGAAAGATTGAAGACTAATCAATTATTTAGTCAGACTAATAATATTTTTCATTTCTTAATAAGATCAGGTAACTATTATCACCTGCTGCATTGCAATAAAAAAAAAACATTTTGAGTACTGGGATCCCTCAAGCTTGTGTACTCAGTCCCCTTCACACCATTAACACACAATCATGCAGCCAAACTTAAGGAAACCCTAACTATAAAATTCTATGGATCATTTGGAACAATAGGAATACCAACCTTAGACTTAGTGTGTGATAAATGAAAAAAGATGAAAATATATTTCCTGTGGTAAAAATGTCGGCTTGCGTCGCTCTGCGTTAGCACACGAAAAGCAGAACCATTAAACAGCTGTCTACTTAAAGGGGAACAACGTTTTTTTTTTTTACATTGGGCCCTTGATTTTACGTTATTACATCATGTTCTACTCACCCATATGAGTCTTGTGTCATTTGGAGCCGTTCTGAAGATATTCCGTTAGGTTATATCCAAGTAATGACTTGAAGGCACAAACTGAACTGTTCATAATTTATTCTTTATGGTACGCCAGCATTCATAACATGTAGGCGAATCACTGTCCCCCAGACATCCACGGCTATATTTTTTATATTTATATTTTTTTAAAACAAAGCGGAGTGTGTATGACGTCATAAAAAACGGTGTTCCCCTTTAAGTGACTGAAGTTCCTGTCAGTTTAAAAAGGTGAAACTGAAAGATATAGAAGATTACCAGCAGTGAAATTTGTCCTCTGACCTTCTGGATTCTCTGTATTAATGGGCAGACTGGGGTCACATTTGCTCTTGCACTGCTGCATAGCTGCGGGCCGCTGGTGCTCCAGACACTCGTTGGATGGCTGGCCAGTGTGGGTGAGACACTGCACCGAACGCATCTCCTGTCCCAGACCGCACCTGGCAGAGCACTGAACCACAAGAACCCCTTTAATACACAAACATCACTCCCAGATCTGAGGCACAACAAAACATTTTAGGAGCTGGACTTATTTCTAAACCTTTCCTAGGAGTCAATTTAAGAGATAAAGGCTTGTTTCTAAGAACATAAATACTGCAGTGAACTATCATTGAGGTGGAATACTCTATTCACTATTTTTGGCATTTAATTGAGCAATCAGAGAGAATATTCTACAGCTCTTTTTTTGGTTAACTTTTATTTATAAGACATTATTTTGACTGCTTCTGGCTTTTATCTGTACTGCAATCACACTGAGAAATGTCGACTCATATGCTGCTTTTTTCTGTCCTTTCGCTCTAAAGACACTAAAAGTTCTTGAGGCTGATTCAAAAACATGTTCCTGTTTTTCATCCTTTGTTGCTTTTCTTTTAACTATGCAACTAGAGTTTTATTTGTTGCTGCCTCTTGAAAAAAAAAAGATTTCAATCTAAATGGCACTATCATGGTTAGACATTAAAAAAATGAAACATTTTTTAGCTTACCACAATAATATATTGCATGAAAATGTAAACTAATCATTTTATTGCTTTCAAAAAAGAAAATATGTATTTTAATGCTTGCTACACGTCTTTAGTTTATACGCTGACGTATGCTAAAAGAGAACCTAAAAAGCATAATGTTGTCCACATTAAAAATAATCTGTCTTCTGTATCTTAGTGACAAGTTGCAGTAAATTTTTTGTGTGTTTTTGGTTTGTATTAAATACAAAGGTTTTCTTTTTCAGTTTTTGGGGCATATTTGAGGAGTTCTGCCAGCAAATAGCGTGTTTTAGAGTCTGTCTAATCCACTTAAGGATTATTTATTTAAATTTTTTCCCCCCTAAAAGCTAACATACACTTCCTCTTTTTCATTATGTTCTCTTAAAGCAACAGTGCAGTATTGATGCACTCTGATTGGCTTTTGGCCCTGAGCAGAGTTCCTGTTATTTCAGACTTTTCCTAGAAAGCTATTTTTCTTTCTTTCTTTCACTGACCTACAATGGTTTCCTTAGAAAAGATAATTAAAGCAATGCAATTTTAAACTCTTCAAGCTATTTGGTTCAAATTACCCCAAATAAATAGAAAGAACATCAAAATAATTAGTTATGAAGTCTTTAGTTTGATCCTTATGGAGTGAATATTGTTCTGTTATTGGTGCAAGAAAAAAAAACATGTAATCTCCATAGACGTTTGAAGAAATTATAATGACCTTGGAAAAAAGTTTTAATAAAAAATAGAAAAAAGGAGGAAATGAGGGTAGTTTTGCTTTTTTCTCAGATTTTATTTAAATCATTTGGTCAATATGTTTAGATTCACTTTTTTAAGCAGGTTTGATATTTTATGTTTTTCCCCGAAAAAATATAATTTGCAGATTTAGTATTTTCAAATGTTATTTTCAAAAGTTGTTTTATTTTTCAGACTGAGTTTTAAAAATTGCATTCTTTTCTAATTGTACTTGACAGATTCCTTTCTCTTCACTTCAAGCCCAATACAAACCTTCAGTCTTGATCAGTGTTGTATAGATAGATGTCTATACTGTTAAATAATTCATTAAAAGGTCTAAACATCTGAAAACATTGAAAATCTGCAGTGTTTTGGTGTGTGGTTTGACAAGTGAGTTGCCAAATAATTACATAAATGTTATCAAATTTATTGTTTATAATAAAATGATTTGGCTTTTAATTTCTTGCACATTGACAGCCTTCAATTGGCTATTAAATAGGTATGAAGCTGTATAATAATGCTTTTCAAGCAATTAAACAAAACAAATACATACTTTGCAAAAGAATTAAACAGTGGACTGTATGATTGCAGGATATTTGTCATTGTAGCTCTTAGAAAATAAAGAAGGTGTTGATTAAAGCTGTCATTCAGTGTTAAGATGAAGTGAAGAGCTTCTTTAAATTCCAGCTTCTAACAGACAATAAAATCTTTGTTCTGAAGCATAATGTGCAAATTACAGCAACATTAGTCAGAGTGTTTAATATGCAAAGGATTCCACTTGTCATACATTTATTGGGTTCAGGTATAATGGGGCGAAACAAGATCCCCTACTGGTTGATAAGCGGAGTGTATTCAGGAACCTCATTGCCAGTCTTTGAATCAGGAGCATGAAGTAGGTTCACTGACGGCACGCTGATATATTGGATGTATTAACCACAAGAATTCAAGATGTCTGAAAGGAAACCAAAACCAGCTTTTAAGCACAAACACCACCTGTTAGCCGCAAGGTGGTGGAGGTGTTTCTTTTGCACACGGAGGTGTGATTATTTTGTCTGGTTCTGCAGCCTCTGGACATGGATTCCTCATCTATAAATTTATCTATATAACAAAGTATTTCAAGTATGCATGTTTGGTCATGTGTTTCAAGAAACTGAGGTGAAGTCCAGTTGAGGACACAACATACAATGATTCTCATAAAGGGTTTTAAAAACATATCGAATGAGAAAACAGAAGAATTCTAGTATAGTTATGGCCTATTGAAAGATTGGACCTTATAGTTTTGCTGTGGAACATTAAGACAGCTATTTCAGAAATCATTGGCTTAAATCCTAATTCAGAGAAAACAAGTTTTAAACAGAAAAATGATCCAACAGTCCTCTGTAACGATATCAGAGGTGAAGTTAAAGTTCCTCCTGCCTAATGTGCTTCTAAAACTACTCAACGATAAAGTGAAGCAAAGTAGTCTTTACATGCAAGCTTATATTTTTGGCTTTTCCTATTTTAGTTTAATAATGACAGTGTGGAATTGGTAGGTTGCTTTTTTAAAACTTTCAAAAAACCTGTGGTATCATTTATAAAGCTTGTATTCTCACAAAACAGGGATTTAAACTTGCTTTAGTCACTTTCCAGACAAAGGTTGTGATCGATAAAAATCAAACTAGGTGTAAAAGAGTGCAAACCCTCACGCTTACTTCACCTGTGTGCTGGGTATACAGGTCCTTCTCAATATATTAGCATATTGTGATAAAGTTCATTATTTTACATAATGTAATGATAAAACTTGTTCATATATTTTAGATTCATCGCACACTAACTGAAATATTTCAGGTCTTTTATTATCTTAATATGGATGATTTTGGCATACGGCTCATGAAAACGCAAAATTCCTATCTCACAAAATTAGCATATTTCATCCGACCAATAAAAGAAAAGTTTTCTTGATACAAAAAAGTCAACCTTCATATAAGTATGTACAGTTATGCACTCAATACTTGATAGGGAATCCTTTTGCAGAAATGACTGCTTCAATGCGGCGTGGCATGGAGGCAATCAGCCTGTGGCACTGCTGAGGTGTTATGGAGGCCCAGGATGCTTAGATAGCAGCCTTTAGCTCATCCACAGTGTTGGGTCTTGAGTCTCTCAACTTCCTCTTCACAATATCCCACAGATTCTCTATGGGGTTCAGGTCAGGAGAGTTGGCAGGCCAATTGAGCACAGTGATACCATGGTCAGTAAACTATTTTCCAGTGGTTTTGGCATTGTGAGCAGGTGTCAGGTCGTCCTGAAAATGAAATCCTCATCTCCATAAAGCTTTTCAGCAGATGGAAGCATGAAGTGCTCCAAAATCTCCTGATAGCTAGCTGCATTGACCCTGCCCTTGATAAAACGCAGTGGACCAACACCAGCAGCTGACATGGCACCCCAGACCATCCCTGACTGTGGGTACTTGACACCGGACTTCTGGCATTCTGGCATTTCCTTCTCCCCAGTCTTCCTCCAGACTCTGGCACCTTGATTTTCAAATAACAAGCAAAACTGAGCAACAGTCCAGTGCTGCTTCTCTGTAGCTCAAGTCAGGCTCCTCTGCCGCTGTTTCTGGTTCTAAAGTGGGTTGACCTGGGGAATGCGGCACCTGAAGCCCATTTCCTGCACACGCCTGTGCATGGTGGCTCGATGTTTCTACTCCAGACTCAGTCCACTGCTTCTGCAGGTCCCCCAAGGTCTGGAATCGGCCCTTCTCCACAATCTTCCTCAGGGTCCGGTCACCTCTTCTCGTTGTGCAGCGTTTTCTGCCACACTCTTTCCTTCCCACTGAGGTGCCTTGATGCAGCACTCAGGGAACAGCCTACTGGTTCAGAAACATCTTTCTGTGTCATACCCTCTTGCTTGAGGGTGTCAATGATGGCCTTCTGGACAGCAGTCAGGTCGGCAGTCTTACCCATGATTTGGGTTTTGAGTGATGAACCAGGATGGGAGTTTTAAAGGCCTCAGGAATCTATTGCAGGTGTTTAGAGTTCATTTGTTGATTCAGACGAATAGGTGCATAGCTCGTTTAGAGACCTTTATCACGAGATGCTAATTTTGTGAGATAGGAGTTTTGGGTTTTCACAAGTTGTATGCCATGTATGACGAGGTGGTGTGCAGTTTCAGTATTACAATTTCAAAACAAAAGGTGTCAAAATAATTTTTTGAAAAAATAAAATTTGGAAACAAAATTACAACCTGCAAAAAGTTATTTTGAAAAAAATAAAATTTGAAAATAGAGAATCATAAAAAAAAATTTTGACCAAATTTTGTAAAAAAAACAACTTATAATTGAAAAGATAAAATGTAAGAAATGCATATGAATAAAAAAAAAAATTAAGTCTGAGAAAAGAGTAAAGTCCATCTCAAAGTCTCTTTGTTAAAGAATATTTTTCATAGTTTGTTTTCTAGATTCCATTTTTTTTTTCCCATTTTCATTTACAAAATGTGCTCTTTCTACAACAACAATGGAGCAAAATTCAATCCATGTTAATTGATGATAAACGTTTTATAAATGACACCCCTGATAGTTTCGATCATGTTCTGATCGGTAAAGCCTAAGATCAAAAGGTTTCCTTTTTCATTGTGACATCACTGCACTAATCATCACATTACACAAAGGATAATAGACATGTCTGGTGTCTTACCTCCCCCCATGGACCTGTGACCCACTGAGGTGGAGGGCAGCGCTGCAGGTTACAGCGCACCCTGGAGGTGGGTCGGCCATATTTGGGACACTTTGAGTCTGGCAACGTGTCGCCGCTCTCTCCGCTCTTACACAACACCACACGGTGTCTGTAGCCAGGACCACAACTGGGTGTGCACTGCACACAGAAAGGGGAAAACTATATTTAAAACATCAGGCAGCCTGGTGGGGAGCTTGGAGGGTGCTAATCCTAATCTGCTCAGCAGAGGGCAGCAGATGCAAGAGAAATAAAGATCCTGTGGAGCTTTTGTAGAACAACTTGATATCATTACTCCTATGCAAGCGCCACTGCTGCATGATAAGATGCTTCATACACAAGAAAATCTATTGTAACTAAGAAAGAATGACTAAAGGAAATTATAGCTACATAAAATAAGGACTATTATGGAAGAAAAACAGTCTAAATGTAATCTCCCTTTTTTTGTACACCAAATTTTAAATACTGAATTTTTTAACACCATATTTTAAACGCTGATTTTTTTTTTATACACATTGAATTCCTTATACTGAATTTATATCTGGTAAAAATTTGCCTGCAAAAAATTCTGCTGCAAATGTCTTGACCTTTTGGTGAACTCAAGCCAAGGCAATCGACACTAGATGCAGTCGAGCAGCTTCTAGCCAATGAAATGAGCTCAGGTGACACAACACTTGGGCATAGCTTTGTTCCAGGCTGAATGAAGCTGAATGAGGAGTTTTTCTTGTTAAATAGATATGATTACAAAATGTCATTTAGCTACTAATAGAATGCCATTAGAATTTTTCATCCAATCGGACTGGGTGAAATAACTAAGCCGATCATAGTGAGTACAGCACCCCTGTCTGCCGAGGCTCTTGTTTTGATCCGGAAGATGCAGCCAGCAGCAAACTGACCAAATGAGCAAATTTTATTGGCTAGAAGCTGCTCGACTGGATCGAGTGTAGATTGCTTTGGCTTGAGTTCACCCAAAGGTCAACACAGCTGAATTCTTTGCAGGCAAATTTTTTGCATCTGATAAAAATTTTCACCAGATAAAAATTCAGGTTAAGGAATTCAATGTTTAAGAAAATTCAGCGTTTAAAATTAGGTGTACAAAAAAGGCAGATTTAAATGAGACTGTTTTACTTCCATAAACTATTTCCTAAGAATACCAAAGAAGTTCACATTAAACATGAATCGATTGAATCTAAAAGTAATATTCTCTGACAGATCATGTGTTTGTCTTATCTCAATATTTATCATGATTTCCATTAAGTTACTTAGGTTTGACTTCTGCAGACAGCTGTGCTTTCTTGTGGTGAACTTTAATCAAGTAACAACAAAGAGGGAAATGTAAAGCGTGCATTAAAAAAACAGTTTGTACCTCAGACCAATCCAAAGCCATCCACTCTGGAGGGCAGCTGTGGTTGCTGCAGGGCTCTGTAAACGATGGTCGAGGGGAGCTGCAGGCCGAATCATCCAGGACCTTCTCCTCCATCACAGAAATCCTCCTTTTACACAACACCTCCCGAGTCCGCAGGCCGCCGTTACAGCTGCGGCTGCACTCTGACCACTCTCCTGTCCACCAGCTGGAAGCAGAGAAAAGCCTGCTGTTTGTTTTTAACATCCTCCTCGCATGCAGCAGTCACATACAGCATAGATGCACAAAGGTTTCTAGTTCCCTCTCATGCAGTGAGGAAGCCGCCAGCACTCACTTTGGAGAGCACGGCTCAGTGTTGCAGGATCTCCTCTTCTCTTTGGGTTTGCTCTTCTTATCACAGAAGTGATTGTAGACGACTGAAAGATCCGACTGCCGTTTACACACAACCTGCTGGATCTGGACACCTGATCACAGGGTGGAAAAGAAAGGAGTAAAATAACAATTCCATCTCAAAAGCATTGAGAAACATTAAGGGTTTTTACATTACAAACCCAAACATCACAGTAAAACACAGTAATATTTCCCCCCTTTCTAGGTAAAGCTTTGAGTGACAAGAAACCAAAAAATACTGTGTGTATACAAAAATAAATTTAATTCAGTACAGCTCTCAAGACATTTTCACTTTTAAAGAGCAGCAGTGATAAAAAAGTAAGCTTCTTTTTTTTTAAACCCCATTTTATGCACATTCAGCTAATGGGTCAGAGTAGGTGAAACGAAAACAAAAACTACCTAAACAAGGGCAACAAAATCCATTTCAATTCATTCATCGCTGTTTGAAGTTTTACTCAACAGAACAACACTCAGTTTCTGTGGTCATAATGTTTTGACTGGTCTGTATACATGGGTCAGAAAGTAAAAAGAATGTTTTTGCTTTTATCTTTCGGCCTAAGAAGGTCTGAAGAGCAGTGAGCGCCAAGGCCAGGCAGTGAAACACCACTTTTCTTTGGTGGTTCTGTTTCTTTCCTACCTCCAGCACACAAAGCTGAACAGCGGGACCAGGACGTGTACTGCCAGGCGAAGCCACTCATAGGATCCCTGCTGACTGGTGGGTTGAAACGATAGTGGATCCCTGGATTGTCCTCACTAAGCCGTAACTAATCAGACCAAAAGCAAAGCAGCAATATTTTATTTCCCTGCATTTTTGACCAATCAGGGGGAAAATCCGGCTTTATATTTATTCTATCCTATTCTTACCAAGACAATTAGGGTCATATTTGTTGGTCCAAGAGCTTCAAGAGTTTCTGGTCCGTCAGCGGGCCGCCTGTAGTGGAAAGTGGTCCCAGCAGCGTTGACCCTTCGAGCCGTGTCAGTGGTGAGTTTCTCATTGATAAAATACTGATCATTCTTACTCTTCAGGACTGAAACACATGGTAGAGACACATTTAGATATATTTCTGAGATTTAATGCATTTATGTTTGGTCATTCTGCATCAGGAAATAATTCTGCAAGAAACAAAATCTCAAACCCTCCTAATAGCCTTTAATTATCAGGGTTATTGTCAGTGCTCAATCCTGCTGGGTCCTAGCTGGTGTATTATGTTATTCTTGTTCAATTTTTTCAGGTCCACATTTGTGTGACCATTTTTTTCCTGCTGTAAACACCAGAATTACCCCATTGTGGGACAATAAAACAATTCAAAGTGTAATTTCAAAGATAGGACCAGTGTGGGACTAAAGTCAGCAGAAACATTTTAAATCCCCGTATAAATCAGCTTGGGTAACCAGCTGCTAGCCCCGATACACCAGCTTTCCATTGTGTTTTAATTGCCTGTTCCTCCTGTATCTCAACCTATCGATCAGTATCCAGAAACTGCCCTGGCTGTAAGTATCCAAAATCTTTCATCTCCAGTAGTTGGATACTGCAAGCAAACAATCTAGTGGGCAGAGAAGGAATTCCTTTTTAAGGTCTTGTTAGCATGTTTAATAGTAATCTACACAGCCAGAGCAACTGGACCTGTCCTCCAGCTGCAAACTCTAAATACTGCAAGACCAAATATGTTTAAACACCTCTTTGGTTTCCCTGTTCTAGCTGATCTTACTTGGCTTAACAGATAATATTTAATATGATGACATCGTTCGACATTAGGGCTGGAACTCAGCGACAGGGTTAGAAGTAGGGATGCACGATATTGGGATTTTGGCCGATATCTGATATGCCGATATTTTAAAACTCATGTAGCCGATAACCGATATCGATACTGATGTTAAAGCTGGAGAAAAATAAGTAGTCATTGAAAATAGCAGTTTTGTTATCCATTTCTGACACTTTGAAAAATAATATACTCAAATATATTTTCATATGCTGATATCAAGTAGATTTTTAAAAACGCGGTATCAATCTATTTTACTTTCAAAATCTTGTGAAATTTCATCATTCTGTTACAAACTCTCGTGATATTTTGCAAATTCTTGTGAGAGTTTGTTAGTAAAATAGATCGATACCGCGTCAATATATCAACATATAAAAATATGGCAAAATTTCGTGAATTTTCTGTGTATTTCGTAGCATAACGATGACATATAGCAATATTTCATTAGTAAAAGAGATTGATATGGTGTTTTTAAATGGCAATATATCAGCATATGAAGATATTGTGATATTTTAATGTATCAATATTTTTTCCCTCGTCTTTAGAAGTTTTTAAGTCTGTAAAAATAAGTTTTTGAGGAAGAAGTAGTAGTATTTTTTTTTTTTTTTTTAGACTTTAGAAACTCAGAAGCTGATCAAATATCGGGTTAAATATCGGTGGGGTGGCCGATGTCCGATATTCAGTTTTAAGGCAGATACAGGCCGATACCGATAGGGGGCCGATTATATCGTATATCCCTAGTTAGAAGGTAAAGTTACAGTTAGATTTAGACTTTAGAAAAACATCATGAAATAAAAAAAAATCCTTAATGTGGAAATGCCTGTGACTGTAACTTTATACTGCTGCTGCTTCCGAACTTTAGCCCAGGTACTGGTCTACCTGGACCTGGCAGCTTTCAGCTACCAACACTGTCTTCTGTTATACTTCTGTTGTCTCACCCTATTTTGAGGCCTATAGGCAACCACCCCGGCCTAACAGTCAGCATTCATGCATTATCTTTGAGCTCTGTTTGGATAATTCAACCAGATGTTACTTATTCAAGCTGATGTCTCTTCTAATCTGTTGGAATATCCTTAAACACCTAACCCCCTCTAGTTGCTATCCAATCAATGACAAGCCTCCAGCTTTTTGCAGTGTCTGCTACTTTCCAAACTTATACAGAACTTAGCACCATAAAGAGGGTTAAGGACTAAGAAAAGAGTTTCAAAAAAGTTTTAACCTGAATAAGACTCTCAGAAATATGTTTGTTGAAATAAACTTTAACTCACCAAGGTAGTTGAGGGAGATGTTGAGCTCCTGTATGTGGATGAACACTGATCCTTTAGGTATTCTCACCACTTCTTCATATTCTGGGGAGAAGAAAAAGACAACAAAAATGAAAGTAAAAAGGAGTTTTATTCAGTGTTTTACATTCTGGGACATCAACTTGCTAAGAAGAGGCTTTAGTTTGCAGCTGTATTCACAGTTAGATAACCTAAAATATTTGCTTAGAAAGAACATCTCTGCAAGGAACATTGTAAAAATAAGAAATATCCTGTCCATGGGAGATTCTGAGAAACTAGTCCATGCATTTGTTATTTCAAAGCTGGACTATTATATTTTTTACTATCAGGAAGTCCAAAATATTTAGTTAATAGACTTCAGTTGTTCCAATAAGCCGCTGCTAGTGTTCTGATGAAAATTATGAAGACGGATCATATCTCTCCTGTCTTACAGTTAGATCCAGAAAACAATTAAAAACCCTCCTTCTCACATATAGAGCTGATTGTTCCTTATGTTCCTAACAGAGCACTTCACTCTCAATCCGCAGGTTTACTAGTGGTTCCTAGAATTTCTAAAGGTAGAATGGGAGGCAGATCTCGGGGTCAGACCCTGTCTACTTTTAAGGGAAGGCTTGAAGACTCAAAACCCATCTGTTCCAGCTCGCTTATCTGTGAATATACTGCTCTTTTCCCTATCCATGATTGTTTTTTTGTTTTTTTATGTTCCTGCATCTGTATTTTGTATTTTCATCTCTTTTTATTTAATTTTTTTTGCATTATTTGTAAAGTGACCTTGAGTGTCAAGAAAGGCGCTGTTAAATAAAATGTATTATTATTATTATTGAAACTTTCCTTTCTGATAAACATTATAGTTAGAGTGGCTCAGATTATCCTTATGCTGCTATAGGCTTAGACTGCTGGAGGACATAGGGACCCCTTTTCATAATTCTGCTTCTTTCTATCTCTATTCTCCCATTCTGTTGTTTTTGTTAGTTCAGTGTCTATAGGTATGCCCTCTCTGCTTTTTCTCATAGTAGCTTCATCTGCGCTGTTTCTGTTTGGCTGTGACTCCATCCTGGAGAGAAATATCAGCTGAGCTGCTGCCATTAACACCTTTTTTTTTATAGATGTTGGAACTTGGCCTATGTTTCAGTGTAGTCCTGTTTCTCTTACTGTGACTAACTGTATGTGTTCTTTTTCATCCTGTGACATGGAAGCTGGCTCAGAGCTACTCTCTCATCTGATTTTAAGTCTGATTTTATTCAAATCAAAAACACATCCCCCATGTTGAGTGTTTTGGCCCTGAGGCTAATAATCAGCAATTATCAAACCATTGTTGAAAAAGAGAAGCTTGGAAAAAACTAGCCCTTCAGAACTACACACCCATATATAACATCTCCTTCATCAGTAAGATTAATAAAAAAAAACTTGTGTTTCAACAGTTAAATGCTTTCTTAACAATGACAAGCTGCTTTGATGTCTTCCAGTCAGGTTTTCATGCCAAGCATGGTACAGAGACTGCCCTGATTAAGGTGTTTAATGATATCAATATAAATTCAGACTCTGGAAGAACCACAGTCCTGGTATTATTGGACCTCAGTTCAACATTCGATACTGTTTATCACTTGATTTTATTAGAGCGTCTGGAAAACTGGGTTGGCCTTTCTGGTAGACTACTGGACTGGTTTAAATCATACCTGAAGGACAAAGACTTCTATGTGTTAGAAGGAAACTTTAAACCAGAGACCAGAAGATTCACAAGTGGGGTTCCTCAAAGCTCCATTCTGGAGCTCCTCCTATTCAACATCTACATGGTCCCCTTGGTACAGATTATAGCAAACAACCAGATCAGTTACCATAACTATACAGACGACAGACAGCTTTACATCACAATGTCACCAGGTGACTATGAACCCATCAGTGCGTGGATTAGATGCTTAGAACAGATCAGTCTGTGGATGCACCATAATTTTCTACAACTGAATAAAAACAAAACAGAGGTAATCATTTTCATCTGATCTATCTTCGGACCAAAGGAAGAGAGACCCAGAGTTAGCGCACAGCTTCAGCTACTATAGCTAGAAACTACTGATTGTGGCCGAAATTTTGGTCTCATGATGGACTCAGACCTGAACCTTCAGAGGCACATAAAGGCTGTTACTAAGTCAGCCTTTTATCACCCGAAGAACATCTCCAAGATTAGAAGACTAATGTCCAAGCAGGATCTAGAAAAACTAATTCATGCATTATCTTTAGTAGAATTGATTTTTGTAACATTGTCTTCATATGTTTGGGTAGAAAGTCCATCATACAGCTGCAGCTGATCTAAAACAATGCTGCCCATGTTCTCACTAGAACTAAGAAGTTAGGACACATCAGCCTGGTTCTGAAGTCCTTCCACTGGCTCCTTCTGTTAATAATCAATAAAGGGGGGATTGCCATTAAGGGGGGGATTGTCTCCTGTAATACCTGAAACCTGTCTATGATTGTTAAGGGTTGGTCGTTAAGGAGGTATTGTTCACGGGCTGTAGCGGGTAGGTCCCTCGTTCCTCTATGATGGGGTGGGGGGTTTGGTGATATCTGGAAGGGATCATGTCTAAACTCACTGCGGATCCAGACATTTGAATTGAGAACGCTTCCTGGAGAGGTAGCGAAACGTCTTCAAATCTTGAAAACCAAGTCCAGTGGATGTTTTTGAATTTTTACGGAATTAAAAGCCTGAGTTCTTTTAAGTCAAAGTTAAAAACAATTTGTTTAGAACTGCCATTGACTTTTAAAGTTAAACTATTACTGTAAATTAGGTATTATTAGTTTAAGGTTGAGGTCTAACTGGTTTATTTGTTTTAGTCATGCTTTTTTATCTTTATTTGCATTTATTCTGCTTTCATTGTAAAGCACTTTGAATTGTCCATATACTGAATTGTGCTATACAAATAAGCTTGCCTTGCCTTTCCTGGCTGTGTGTTTCCTGGACAGGACTCCCTCAAGGGTTGGCAGCTGCTTTATGTATCTCTGCTTCTGTCTCCTTGAACCCCAGTCGGTCTCAGCAGATGGCCACTCACACTGAGCCTGGTCTGCTAGAGGTTTTCTTCCTGCTAAAAGGGAGTTTTCCTCTCCACTGTCACAACACACATGCTAAATGTGAGGGATTGCCTTCGATTCAGTGCTATCAGCTGGTTGTCTTTAGACAGAAAACTTTGAACCAATCCGACTGCATGATCTGGTTAAATTGTCTCTGTAAAGAGCCTTGACATGACATGAGAAATATTAATAAACTGAACAGAATTTTCTCTCCAGTCACACCATCTGTCTTTCCTCCATGTTTTTTTTTCTTTCTTCTTTTTAATCATCTCACCTCGAATCTTGCCTCACTTTGCCGTTTTCAGCTTAGCTCTGCCGTCCAACCTGAAGACCAGGTGCTGAAGCCCCATAAATAACTCGAACTCGCTGGACAGTGACAGAATAAAAAAAGCTGAACTACAATTTAACGCCTTCCAGTGGCAGTTTTTAGATTCCACCCTTTGGAGCTTGAGGGTTTTTTGGACACACAAGATATTGTCTGAAAGTGTCAGAGAAAAGTTCTGAGAGAAAAATCTGTTTACAGTAATTAAGTAACCTCTCACCTCCTGCTTGAGTGACAGATTTTGAGAAATGGGGAGAAACCTTTAGTCGACATTAATGTATCAGTGCAAAGATTGGAGCACAGATAATACAGCAGTGTTAGGAGATCTCTTTATTTTCTCAAACAGGCTGAAATCCAGCACACATTCATGTCATTTTTCTTAGCTATACAGTGCAGGCGCAGCGGTTTGGCCTCATTCTGTGGTCATAAAACTCTCTCTATATGGATAATGTTATCGCTTGGCATGTTAATAATAGAGTAAAGAAAATGCACAGACATTCCTGAATTTTGATGCACAGTTTTCTACTACATTTTGCCTTCATTTCTCACATATTATCACTTTAGTGCTTAATACACACTGAAACTTAATGTGTAAGTTTGTTTGTACATATATATTTACTTCCTTACATTTCCGCTGCAAAGCAAATTGAAAAATAGGATATCATAGTGCCTGCGACTCAAAATGCACATGTGTGAGGTGAACCAAATGGAAAGCCACACATATAAAAAGTGCCCCCAAAGCTCTGCTGCAGGTCAAAAAATCCAGAGGGATCCTTTAAATCACCGAAGCAGACAGCAGAGGAGAAGTGTTGGCTGAAGGCCTTTTTGGAGTCTAGAGAAGTCAAAAGCTGGCTGTAGACATGACTGAGCGATTCTCCCAGTTATAAATCCTAGGTGGAACCAGAGGCCGTCCCCTGTCCTGTGCCTGGAGTTTAAGTTTGGTTGATGAGAAGACACTTTGTGCTGTGTCATTGTGACCCAAAGTATTTTCGTTATAGCTGTTGTTTGATCTAAACTCACTTTAGTTGAGGTTTAGGCTGATTTCGACAAAACAAAACATTTAAAGCTTTTTTAAAAGCTAAAAGAATTTTCAGTATATAGTTGGACAATTTGAGCACCAAGTCATTTTGCTGATGACTTAAACTTAGTAGATGTCCTCATAGTCTCTTATAAAGTTGTGGAGGATCTTCAAACACTCTTGTTTACAAGCTCGGTTTAGGTAATGATATCCATTTGACAGCTAGGCTGAGGTCTAGACTTAAACTGAGCCACTGCTTTGTTTTGTTTTGTGTTTTTTTTTTCTCAGATATGTTGCATATTTGCTGCTGAATTTAGGATTACAGTTGTATTGATGACCCAGTTTAGACCAAGCTGAAGCTGACAGTTTGTCTCACACTACATTTTAGAACATCTTGCTAAACAGAAGGTTTATGATCGACCAGATGTCTTGCAGTTTAGCTTTGCAAAGCCATGTTGTTTTTATAGAGTAGGTGCAAAGGTGCTCTGTGGACTGAGATCTAGTGACTGTGGAGGCCATATAAGTACAGTTGACTCATTCTCATGTTCAATAAACCAGTCTGAGATGATTTGCTCTTTATAACATGGTGTGTTATCCTGCTGGAAGTAGCCATCAGAGGACCGGTGCACTTTGGTCATAAAGAGATGGAAAGGTCAGCAACAATATTCAGCTGTCACTTCTGAAGCACTTTTCTCTGATAAAAGAAACTCAAAAAGAGATTAACGACACCATAATGATGAAAGGAGTGTTCAAACTTAAAGAAGTTTAGCCTTTAGCTTATGACTCTGTAGATTGTGTCTTGGATGCTGAGGCTGAAACAAACTGTGACACAACATTCCATAAAAAGAAAATCAAAAACAATCCACCCTCGCCTATTCAGCCAGGCCAACAATTATCTTTAATAAACCCCCCTTACAGACACTTAGACAGGTATGGGGTATTGCAGGCTGACAACAGAAGCAAAACAATCCCCATTCCAAAGCAATGGACCCCTTCGTCCGTTTCAATTTGCATGCTTTCAAAACAAAAACAAGGTTTTGATGACCTACTGTATTAAACCTCAAACTCACCCCTATTCCTGACATTTGGAATTGAAAAAGCTTCCTGAATGGGAAGCGAAACGTCTTCAAACTTGGAAAGAAAGTCCAGTGGATTGTTTTTAACTTTCTTTTTTTGGAAAGACAAGGACCTGGATGACTGAGAATCTTCAACAGCATATGTGACGCAACATCTTCCCCAGAAATGAAATGGCAATAAGCTGATTGGTCAAAACTTTTTCAAAGCTGTTGTGCTATCTGGGTCTCACACATTAATCCAAGATCCTTTCTTTGTCACCTTTGTTCCTTCATGCTTAGGAAAAGAAGGGGAGAGAGATGATGGAGCATTTTCTAGAGTAAACATATAGATGTTTCACCATATTTAAATATGTAGAAAGGGGGCTAAGTGAGTTATGGTGAGTCCTCCATCTCTATCTATCAGCTTACTCTGACAGCAGCTAATGTTACTAATGTTACTGCTTAGCTGGACGCATGAGATCTGTGTTGTCTGTCCAACTTAATGCCACCTAAACCGGTTAGTCTGCAATAAGTTATCGGAATAAAGAGCTGCTGCAGGAAGAGTTTCATTGGTTAACGATTTTAAACAAAATAGCAAAGTATATTTATGCAAAAATCCAGAAATAGTAAATAAATACGCTCTGATGAGGCTCCTTTGTCGGTTAAATGGACAAATTAAAATAGAAATAAAATAGTCCTTCAAGCCGGAATTTCTATTTAACATTTTTAGTTAATTAATGGTTAATTAATTTTCAGAGAGAATGGCCGTCCTAACCTGAGAAGTGAACCGATACTCCTAGTTGTTCCACCCCTCTCCTCTCTACTCAGACTTTTCAGTTTAAGAACAGGTGATATAAATAAAAATAAAATAAATCTGCATTTAATCAACTCTGAGTTTAGCACAACTATGAAAATATAAGAAGTCGTCATCAATGGAACATGAATAATGTGATTCTCCATGGTTAAACATAGGCCTCTAATAGCCACGAATAAGAAGGAAAGGCGGATGGAGTCAACGGATGCCTCCTTATCTCTTCTGTTCCTACGCCTTGGACAACTAGCCACAAACTGAGCTGTTTTCTGGAGGAATAGTTAATTGCCATATTTAGTTTAACAGATATCAAAGTCTGAGATTTAAAATTAAGAGTTAACATTAAATATATATTTGGATTCAAGATTTATATCATTATATCTAATAAGATATTTATCAGATGTAAGATTTAGAAATAAATGTGGGATTAATAGAAAGATATAGGATGTAAAAATAGATTTAAAATATATATATATATATATATATATATATATATATATATATATATATATATATATATATATATATATATATATATATATATATATATAAATTAAACTTTTAAACATAACGTTTGCCAATAAATGTGAGAAAAACACCCTCAATTTGAATTAGGGGTCAAAAATAACAGAAATGCCCAATAACGTTCTGTGTGCATTAAATATGTATTTACATGCCACATAAGTGGTAGCAATAATGATGTGATTTTGCAACATATTTCATGTGTAGCACATCATCTTCATACAGATGATATTTCATATTGTGTGTGGTAGCAACAGGAAAGTTCCTGCTGAAAATATCAAAATCTGACATTTTTAATAAAGTTCACGTTAAGAAGAGATATTTGGAAAAGATAAAATATCTAATTTCAAGAGTGGAAAAGGACACATTTATAATAATTCCTTCTGCAGATCTTGGCTTAAAGTTGGGTTCCTCCAAATAACCCTGCGCAGTAGCAGAGTTGTGTCACAGGGTAATTTGTTGTCATAAATTTACTCAGTGAAATGACTGCCTAACTTTCTGAAACAAAACATAAAAAAACAGGGAATGCAGGAATTTGTTTCAGAGCTTACTCTGGATTACAGCTAAAGTGTATAATGTTGTGTTTTTATTGGAAATGGATTAAAAAGAATAAAATAAACAGAAATAAAGACTTACAATCTTGATATGTTCCACTTCTCCATGAACTTCTCATAGAGAAACAGTCTAGGCTGTTAGATATCCACCCATCTGACTGATTTTAAAGCAAGCTTAGGTCAGTAGCTTACCTGTTTTGTTTTTTTGGTTCTTTTTGTTCTTCATGTAACTGTTTTCTAGTGTCTCCTGCTAAAAATTCTATTGCTTTATTCAAAGTTGTGGATGTTTTTAATGAAACTTTATGAATTACTCTTAACCCTTGATCCTGCAAATCTTTATAACGTCATTGTTCTTCCTATTGTTCCGTCACTGCTGCTGTTAAGTGCATGCTTATAATTGTTCTCACCATGTATTGATTAGCTCTACATCTTTTTACTGTGCCTTTTTACATCTGGCTAAGGACTAAAGATGAAACATAGCCTTTTGTTGAACTATGATTTTTTTTTTTATTTCTACTGTTATATTATTAGACATTGTCGTTTAATAGTAAATAAAATAAAATTAATAGTAGAATATGAGAAGACCCTATAAAATCCTTGATGTTGATTAAAAGTTAAACTAGGTTAGAGCGGTTATTCTATGAATGCATTTTTTATTGAAAGTATATTTTCAACTGCTGATGTTCCAAAAAGCTATTTTTCCAGGAAGATCTTTTAACCCAGGGTAGTAAAAGCCAAAATGTGCATTTTGCTTCAACTACAGACTGTACTGCATACCTTCCAATAGTGAATGCTTCCTGTTGGCCGTGTCTAATCTCTGGAAGGATGAACAGAGCTGAAATTTAAAATTCAACTCAAACACTTTCTACCATTTGACTCCAGTCCAGATCACGCCCTGGGTTGTTTGCATTACACTACCTGACCACAAAAGAAAAAGGTGATAAAGCCAGGAAGTGTTTTGGTTTCTACCTCCTTCAGGCAGCGAGTCGTTGAAGACTCCCTCCACAGAGATGCAGCTGCTGCCGTCACCCCCACAGATCCGACAGCGATCCTCCCGTACGTCCGAGCCCAGCACCCGATCACAACCTACGTGCTGCGATTAAAAAGAAACCAGTGAGATGCAGAGGTCAGATAGGGTCACAGGCGGAAGTGGGCACAGTCGGTAGGCTCAGAGGTGTCAGAGGCCGGGCTGACGAATTACCTCCTAATGTCTTCCAGACTGCTTTATCAAAACACAGAAATATCAGATGGAAAATCCAGATGTGTGCTGTTGTTTCTTTCTTTCTTTTTTTATTTTTTTGTCTGATCCTGCACAGACAGAAAGCTCGCTGGTTGCTGAACTCAAAGCTGTCGACATAAATAAATTTCATGATGAGCGAAGCAGGTGGTTTCACTCAAAGTTTTAAAAGAGGGAACAAAACTGAAACTAAACTGTAGAAAATGAACGACAACTGTTAAAATTCCTATTAATCATACGGCTGCTGGTTGCTTCAGATCAGACAAAATGCGTTTTCACTCAGACAAAATTTGATGCCAGTAATGTAAAATATTCTGAGGGAGACAAAAGCAGTTTGGAGGGATTATTTCATTGTTTTTTTAAAGAAAACTATAAAAAGCAGTATAGATTTATACCAACACTAAAATACCTCTAGTTATTGGGCTCCTGTCCTGTAGAACCAACTGCCCTGTGTACTTTTAAGGCAAGGCTTAAAACTTTCCTTTGTGATAAAGCTTAATCAAGCTTCTCACCTGAGCGCGGGCAAACTCAATGCCGCCCTAACTGAGGTGGCAGGGAGTTTGCCTGCCTTGGTGAGACAATGACATTCGTAAGGTTGCAAGGTTCACTTTTTCACGACGCATCTCACATGTATATGTTGAAATAAGGAGGTAGATAAGGAGGTAAAAACACAGTTTCCACTGCTGTTAGTGTGCTAAAATTCGCTAGGCAGGAAGCCCAGATGTCACAAAGGGATCACTGCTCCTTTTCTATTAGCCATGGCTTTAATCTGAGTGTATCGGCCAACATGCTCAGATTCGTTGGCGAGAGCTCTGTAATTGTAGGTGGTCCTGAGTTATCTCTATTATTATGCTGGTATAGACTTAGAATGCTGGAGGACATAGGGACCTCTTTTCATCATTCTGCTTCATTCATTCTTTATTCTCTCATTCTGAAATTTTGTTAGTTTAAACCCTGACTTTATGTTGTCTGTTTTTTTCTTGTCATAAAAGATTCATCTGGCCTTGTTTTGTTTGGCCTTTTGAGATCATCCTGGATGGAAACATCAATTGGGCTGCCGCCAACAACACCTTCAGTTATAGATGACAAAGTTGAGCCTGTTTTTCAGGGCTTAGTCCTGTTTCTCTCCAAGACATAGCTATGGCCTCAGCTTTTACTGGGAGTGTGCCTTACTCTTTTTGACATGAGAACTGGCTCATGGCTCGTATGCTTAACTAATTCTTTCTTATACAGAGCCACCTGTGGAGCTAGTTTACTGTTAGCTTTTCTAACATGGAACATAGATATACACTCACCGGCCACTTTATTAGGTACACCTGTCCAACTGCTCATTAACACTTTATTTCTAAGCAGCCAATCACATGGCGGCAACTCAGTGCATTTAGACATGGTCAAGACAGTCTCCTGCAGTTCAAACTGAGCATCATTATGGGGAAGAAAGGTGATTTGAGTGACTTTGAACGTGGCATGATTGTTGGTGACAGAAGGGCTGGTCTGAGTATTTCAGAAACTGCTGATCTACTGGGATTTTCACGCACAACCATCTCTAGGGTTTACAGAGAATGGTCCGAAAAAGAAAAAACATCCAATGAGCGGCAGTTCTGTGGGCGGAAATGCCTTGTTGATGCCGGAGGTCAGAGGAAAATGGCCTGACTGGTTCGAGCTGATAGAAGGGCAACAGTGACTCAAATAACCACCCGTTACAACCAAGGTGGGCAGAAGAGCATCTCTGAACGCACAGTATGTCGAACTTTGAGGCAGATGGGCTACAGCAGCAGAAGACCACACTGGCTGCCACTCCTTTCAGCTAAGAACAGGAAACTGAGGCTACAATTTGCACAAGCTCATCGAAATTGGACAATAGAAGATTGGAAAAACGTTGCCTGGTCTGATGAGTCTCGATTTTTGCTGCGACATTCGGATGGTAGGGTCAGAATTTGGCGTCTACAACATGAAAGCATGGATCCATCCTGCCTTGTATCAACGGTTCAGGCTGGTGGTGGTGGTGTCATGGTGTGGGGAATATTTTCTTGGCACTCTTTGGGCCCCTTGGTACCAATTGAGCATCGTTGCAATGCCACAGCCTACCTGAGTATTGTTGCTGACCATGTCCATCCCTTTATGACCACAATGTACCCAACTTCTGATGGCTACTTTCAGCAGGATAATGCGCCATGTCATAAAGCTGGAATCATCTCAGACTGGTTTCTTGAACATGACAATGAGTTCACTGTACTCAAATGGCCTCCACAGTCACCAGATCTCAATCCAATAGAGCATCTTTGGGATGTGGTGGAACGGGAGATTCGCATCATGGATGTCCAGCCGACAAATCTGCGGCAACTGTGTGATGCCATCATGTCAATATGGACCAAACTCCCTGAGGAATGCTTCCAGCACCTTGTTGAATCTATGCCATGAAGAATTGATGCAGTTCTGAAGGCAAAAGGGGGTCCAACCCGTTACTAGCATGGGGTACCTAATAAAGTGGCCGGTGAGTGTAGATCAGTGCTTCTATGTTCCTTTTGAGTGTCTGCTACCGTCTCCTTGAAACCCCTAGTCGCCTCAGCAGAAGGCCGCTCACACTGAGCTTGGTTCTGCTGGAGGTTGATTCTTCCTGTCCACTGTTACTGCATGCATGCTAGGTGCAAAGGATTGCTACAGAGTCAGAAACCTTACACAGCCAAATGTCTACTCTCCCTATTTGCTCATCCAGGAGAAGATTGAGATTGACTGAATGCAGCTAGCTGTTTATTTATCGGACTGAAAACTTTTATCCAGTCTAACTGTCTGTTCTTATTGAATTTTCTCAATAAAGTGACTTGAGTTGGCATTAAATCAACTGAACTGAATTCACTTTTAGCCACTAGGGGTGCTAAACCTGTTACTTCCAGGTTTATCCATCCTGAAAGCTACTGACAGATACAGCCGTAAAATCAAACAGTCTTTCTTTGTGTTTTAGAATCTGATAGCACATCACTTTGGACCAGCAGATTGAGAGGTCATGAAGTTACTGGTGAAGATTAAGCTCTCTAGATTAAATCCAACATCAGACAACCAAAAATATATGTCATCAGAGTGATGGGCCTGCAGGTGCTTAAAAAACATCAGCGCTCCAACTACAGGTTGCCCTAGTGCAGGCCAACAGGATTTACAAAGATGCTTAATGTTAAAAGATTTTCAGGAAATAACTAAGTGAAAGCTTTATCTCTGATTTAAGCCTGTTTTGTGGTTTATCTCTGTTTAGTTGGCCAACATAAACTTTTAGCTCTAGTGCTCAAGCTGCCATAAAGCAGTGCTCTAGGTCACATGATGCATTCAGTGACGGAGCTGACTCTCTAAAGTTACATATGACATTTTTAGGAATGCAGCATTGATACGCACCAAGTTTGGAGTAATAACCTAAAAAAATATTTATTATATCTAAAATTCAGCTGAGAGTTGGAACAAAGGTTACACAGCTTCCACAGGCAAGGGTTTGTAAATGTAAGTATCTAGACCTTTTATTATTTGGCCCAATGAACTATATTACGGTCACCAATGAGTCGCTTTTAGACATAAATCCCAGTAATTTACTGGGACAACGTACCCATGTCGAACAACGCGACACATTAAAACTGGACACATAATTCTTATTTGTGCAATTAGAAATAATCCAGGAAGCTAATTTATGTGTCTTATTGGGGATTCAGCTCAAATCGTTTGGCACCTGATCAAAATAGGAAACTCTTAACAGGTCTATTGGTGCAGATTTCTGATTTACTCTGTTATTCCCATTTGTTGGAACTTTGACTCAATAAAGTGTGACAGAAAAGCTTGAAATCTGATTTAAATCAGGCAATAAAAAACATGACAGCGTTGAGAAGAGATTTCTCCAGCCTCTCTTTTTCATACTATTCACCTTTGCACATTTATTAGTAGCCATACATTTGTAGTCAGACAACTGTGCATGCAGACTAATGTCTGAGGGGATTTTATGCTAAAAACCCCAACAAATAACAGATCCAAAATATGCCCAGGGAGAACAGAAATGCTCATGTCTTCTTACTGCAAAGCAGCAGTGCAAACATTACAGTATCTCTGCAGAAACATCTGATTTTAATTAACTGGATTACATATTTACAGATAAGTCAGGGAAAAATGCTGCAACCTTTCAAAAACTGTCAGAACCATCTTGTATTTTGATGATCTAAGTGAATGAATGCTAAAACAAAAGAGGAATGCATACGCGTGAGCTGGCTAAAATAGAAAAAGCGCAGTGGTTGGTTTGTAGAAAGAAACACTGCAAGAAAAAAAAAATCGATGTGAAGGAAGTCGGAAAGTAGAAAAGGGCAGAAAATAGGAGGGATTGAAAGCCAGCCTGCAGCACAGACAGACTAACAATTGAGCTGGAAGGTCACTGAGTTCCTGCAGAACAGAGCACAGGAGAAAAAAAAATGAGGAAGAGGCAAAAAAAAAAATGGGGGGTTTGATAAACAAAACCGTCTTTTTGGATTTCAGACCACCTCCAGCTCCACAGTCTAAAAAACCTCAGAGACACATTAAATAAGGGAGCTAAGGTGAGGTTAAAAAGGTTAAAACAGAGGTTAGGATGTCAGTCATATCTGAACGGATTGTTATAATTTGTTCACAAACAAAACGGCTAAATTAGAAACTGTGTTTCATTTCTAAGAAAAGCGATTATTCAACAAATGGACCACGTGGATGTCAGATGGGCTCGCTAGACCATTTGGAACACCAGGTGGTCACCGATTCATCAAAGAGCACCGCAAAGCAATGTTTTGTTTTCATTAACAGCCGGGATTAAGACCATTAATGGGATTCTTAGTCTGCTGCCAAACTAACAACAGTTTTATCGTCTCGAGCAGCTGATTCTGATGAGCAACACCGGTTGGCGTGTAAGCCCCACAGCTGCAGATGTTCAGGCTTCAAAGTGAGTACAAACAACGTTATCCCAGATGAAGACAATCTTCTGGTGATTCTGTTTAAACCTTCCTCCTCACGTTTAATGGCTTTTTGTTTGGAAATGAAACACTCGCATGGATGTGCTTGAAAAAACTCATTTCAACTGACCTTACACTCTCCGTTCACACAAACATCCACGGAGTCATCTCGACACGGCGTGCCGTCCACCACGGCGGGAGCTCGCTCTGTGTAGAAGTTGTAACCTTCTGCGAGGCAGTTGAGAGAGCAGGGCTTCACCCCACCTGGACAAACACAAAAACCACAAAACCAGCACGTAGAGTGTTAATGTACATACAATGCCCACATTAAGACAGGAAAGGACAAACATACGGAAGGTTGTTTGTTGTTTTAGGAGGATTTTCTGCGGTTTCTCTGATACAACACACCACTAGTTCTACGTGAATCATAATAATAAAGATCACAGTTAAATGGTTTCACTTGTGTATCCATCAGCAACAACTGATGGTGTCCATCAGGGGTCTGTTACAGAACCACTACATTTCAACCCCTGTATCAGAATCATATTGGCCAATGTGTTAACAGTAATCATTAGAGTTGCAATTTTTGTTTTTCTCGTTTTGAGTGACAAAAAACTGCCAATGCCTCATCTTTGACGTTTGTGCAGAATCAGACCCTCTCTGGTCGTTAGAGGCTCGGGATTCTCTACGCTTCAGGCCAGGGATATTCAAAGTTTTCCAGGCTAAGGACCCCCAAACTGATGGCAAGATGGAGGCGGGACCCATCTAATTATATATATATATATATGGTATGAAATAGTGTTCTATCAAACTGGTCCTATAGTCACTATTACAGATGGAGTCATAATATGAAAGTAATTTCTCCCTGGGATTATTAAAGTATTTCTGATTCCTGGTTGATGGGACAGGTGTTGTGAATGAAATGGTGTCCAGCTTGAAAGAGCTCCTGTGTGTCGCTGAATGTGTGCATTGATGGCTGAAAGACATCTTCTGCCTCCATTTATCTGTTTACTACAGTGTGTTAAATTCATGTTAATGTGGATTTAAAGACATTTCAATAAGTGGAAAAAATGCAGGGAGAATATAAAAAAATGCGTAATCAAGCAAAGATTTCGCAACCCCCATGCATTACCTCCTGTTGAAGGCCTCCCCTTTAGGCAATGAGTTACCATCTTTGAAAACAACACTTTGTAACCTCTGACCGAAGCAGCAGCTTAATTAGAAGTATATTTAATCATTTTTCAGTCAGTATTCAACACTTGGGGCTACCTAGGCTCTGTGTGGGCTGATCCATCTGAGGGGATAGATCAACACTTACTGGGTCAAATATAAAGTTTGGTTCAGAGGGAATTATAGCGTTGGGCTGCTTTTCTTAAGCTTGGGGTCATTGTGTTTGTTGATGCCAAAATTCAGCTCAAGCTAAACTACCTGTGATATTCTCTCTAACTTGGCAGTAGAAAACTCCAGAGGATCTTATGATTAACATTCAAGCCTGACAGTTAAGTTGGTCAAAAGAGGCTGTGATACTCGTTATAGCAGGAAGGATTGGATGGCTTGAAGTTTAAGTTTAACTCCTCCCTGCCAGTAGGTGGAGCACAACTGCTCTTGTTCCAACCTTCAATTATACCGTTTGCAAGGCCTGCCAACATTAACCATATCTTACCATAACAGATTTATTTATGAAGCACTTGAAACCCCAAAGTGCCAGGACAAAAGTGCTATACGTAATTATAAGATACATTTCTCTAAGCCACTTCTACACCAAAGCCTGACCGATGTTTACCCTTTTTTTGCTGCTTTTTGTTATGTTAGTTTGAATCTTGACAAATCAAACGTGAAGAAGAAGCCATTTCTCATCTCTACCATGCAGCTCTTGGCATTTCACAACCCCTTAGCTCTGTATCATCTGACTTCAAGTGGCTCAACCATATTGGTGCAAAATCGTTATGTACTGACGTTGGCTTTCTAACCAGAAGTAAATATTTATATTTTTTGGACCAGTCAAAAATTTACAAAACACTTGTTTATGCAATTTTTTAAAATACTTTTATTCTGCACCACTCTAAAAGGTCCTTTTTAGTATTGTAACTAATGAATATTTGGGAATTTCAACTGATCTGTTGACTTTTTTTTGTTGATTAATTGATTAACACAGGGCGACAGTGGCGTCGGATGTAGGAGTTTGCCCTGAAATCGAAGGATTGACGGTTCAAGCCCGGCTCTGATTTTCATTGTCGTTGTGTCCTCGGGCAAGACACTTCACCTGCATTGTCTACTGATGGTGGTCAAAGGGCCTGGTGGCGCCAGTGTACGGCAGCCCCGCTTCTGTCAGTGAGCCCCAGGGCAGCTGTGGCTACAATGTAGCTTGCCACCATCAGTGTGTGAGTGAATGGGTTAAAGCAGTGGTTCCCAAAGATTTTCTTCTGGGCCCCCCTTTGGATTACAATACAATAAAATTTCATAGTTCTATAATGTAGATTACAAGAGGATTATTTGTTGTCTGTGTTATTTTAAACATATTTCTTTTTTTTTATTTGTAACAATATTTAACTTTGCTATAATCTATACATTAAAAAAGCCTCTGTGCAAAATGCAGTGAAAACATTTAACAGCTCCCTGAGAGTTTTTTCTTTGTACTTTAATCCTCCCATCTTTTCAGTGGCTGTAGTGAGCCTGCTTTTTGCTGTAGATCTTCTCAAATCTGGGTTGCAGTGTCACAACTGTCCATTATGCTCAGTCAAGCAAGCGCTGTTTTTTTTTTTTTCTTCATTCATCCATACCGCTTCCCGCGCCCCCCCTGCAATGGCATTGCGCCCCCCCTAGGGGGCGCGCCCCACACTTTGGGAACCACTGGGTTAAAGAATGTAGTGTAAAGCGCTTTGGTCAAGTTACCTGACTTGAAAAAAGGCGCTATATAAGTACATGCCATTTACCATAACACTTGTATAGAGAAAAGGTTCTTCATAGAAATTTATTTTCAAAATTTAAACCAGGTGAAACTAAAACTATTTCACTTTAGGCATTCTGGATAGAGAATACTGATGGACAAAAAAAGGTTTTCATCCAAAATGGAAAATGTTTAAATGTTTTTCTAACAATGTTGGTATAATCACTGCTCCAAGTGGGTTGCTATGTTGGCTAAAAGCATATCAATGGCTACTAATCAGTAGTAAAATTAATTGACAATTCTATTAATAGTTGATTATTTCACATTATTCCGATTAATTGTCCTAATCGTTTAGATAAGAAAGTTGTAGCTGTGTAACTTTAACGTCACACTGAGTGTTGGTCCTTTCAGAAGAAACAGAAGCCCTGTAGGTGTGTGTGTGTATCCTGGCTTGAAGGTTCCTGTAAAACAAGTTCTTGATTCCTTTCTTATAACCACTGTGTTTCTGTGTTTAGGGTTGCTGTTAATAAACAGATTTAACACCTTGGTGCACAGAGGAGCTCATGAGATTTAAGTGAGTCTTGCACTGTGCCCTAGTCCCATCATGACCTTATTCACCAGAACACCACTACCATGCTTTACATTTGGTTTGAGGCATTTCTGTTGAGGGCTTGTGACAGAGCTCCTTCTAACACCTCCCAACAATCCGAAGCTGTTCACTGTTTTTCTAAAACCATCTTTCCCATTCAGGACAGAGGTTTTATGGCTACAAGAACTGAGTGTCATTGCTGGTGTTTTAGTGTTGGCTTGGCATTAACACACAACTGTATGTTCCACTCCAGCAAATAGCCCAAAACTCCTGGCTTTCTATTAGTGTACACACTGATGATAATAAGTTAAACAGGACAATTAATTGCAAGTTTCTGGCAGCTTCTTTTGGACAAACTTCATTTTAACCTAAAGCTTTAGTATTTAGTATCTTGGAGATGTACAGGGGTGTTCTTAGTAGCCAATAAAAATGAAAAAATGACAACAAATCAACCATCATGTTTAAACACTGGCGCATTCAACGCAGCACTGCTACAAATCTTCATTCATGTGTGAAACAACAGCTTCTTTTTAGAGCTGCTGCTGACATCGTCCAGGTTTGTTTGTGCTGGCATGCAGCAGTCGAACTCACAGACAATAAATTGGTCTGACCTTAGGAAAACTACAACTCCCATGGTGCTGAGTTTTTGGCAGGGCAGTCGTAGCTCTCAGGGGTGGAGTCTGAAGTGTCAAGGTGGAATCTGAAGGCTGCTAGCCTGAAATCATTGACACGCAACAGCTTTTTTGATGGAAAAAAGACAGTTTTTTTTTGCTTTAATAATTGAGCTGTCCTTGGCTGCCTGGGCTGTAATAAACTGCCTGTTTCTGTTTTGCATCTCAGGATAGAAGTGAGAAGAAGAAATGGCATGATGCTAGACTGAATAAATTAAGAACTGGAGAGGATGGAAAAACTAGAGGAGAAAGTGGGCGACGTAAAAGAAGGAAGTCCCAGCAGAGAAGAGCCTGAGAGGGGTTATTTGACTTTAACAAGGAAAAGAGGATTTTGGCCGTTTCCCCATTCTAACAGCTGTGAGGGATTTTTTTCTTGAAAACTCAGCTGACTTGATGAAAAGACCATTTGTTGGAAATATTTTAACGTGCATCTCTGCAAGCCAATATGTTTGAAATTAAACCAGCCATGTCATTCAAACTATCTTTCACATCCAGTTTTCATTGTCCGGCGTTCAGCGGGAATGAGAAATTCCCGCGGAGAAACTCTGGGATGTGAGGAATCTCTGCAGCCGGCATCTGCAGACCAGACAGGACGGGTAATGGGTCGCTTCACTCCAGCACATACAGAACAAGCAGCTTGGATTCAGTTTATTTAAAAAGCACAAAACTAACAGCAAAAAAACAAAAGCACATGTCTTTAAAGGTTTAGAGAATAAATGCATCCAATTTAAATGAAAGTGCAAGATGCACAGGTTTTTATTGGTTGTCTAATCCATTCTGCAGACCAGGAAGGGCCTCAAAAGTCTCTGAACCTCGTAAAGTGAAAACAATCAAACTAAATTATGAGTGATAATTTATAACCACCAGAAAGAAACATGGAATCTGTCCTCTAGGATGATTTTCTTTTCAACTGTCTCTTTTAATTTGAATTAAAGAATAATAAATCAGTTTTTGACACAAAACTGTTAGATCTAATAGCTGATATTATGGCTTTAACAAACTTGCTTAGAGCAGGGATTCCCAAACATTTCAGCCTATTAAAAATAACACACAGTCTGGCAAACCACTGTATAGTTATTGAGTCATTTTAGAACTAGTATTTTTTTAAATCCATAGA